GCAGTGTGGGGGGAGGAGGAAAACTGTTCCTCCTCACCCAGTTCCTGAGGTGCATGGGGGGGCGGGGGTCTGTGTCCCTTCCCCTGGGGTTCGTTGTAAACACTGCGCTGTTATATACGCGTGAGAGCTAAAAATAGGATTTAAACAGACTTTGGGATCTCTACGTGTGTAGAAGCGTATTCTTTCTAATCCTACCCCGTCCCTCTGCTCGGATTGCGTTACAGGGGAACTACTGAAGAGTCATCCTTGTCTGGGCTTGGAATTTCCCTGGAAGTTGCAATTCCAAGTTTTATGCATTCCCAAAACACAGCGTGAGCAGTTTGGCTCTTAGTTTTTGCCTAAACCATTCTGGTGACTGCCAGTTGGGCAAGATAGTATGTGAATCCTCTTAGATGTAGTGTACTGGGCATGTCTGAAGTACAGGTAATGGACTAACTCATTTAATGCATATCTTCGTTTGCCACAGCAATTGCTAGCCTTGTTTAGAATGTGTCAGGGGTGTTTGTGGTTTTTCATAAAGCCTAGTGATTAGCTCTGTTTTCAGGGAGCACGAAATTGTTCTATATTTTGTCAACCAGAGGAGAATCAAACCTGTAGTTCATAGGAGACTGCCGCAATGACCAGACAGTAAATTATGATGGGTATCATTCCGTTGCTGAGGTAAAGCAATGTTATTTTACACCAGAGAATGCCAGGTTCTTTGCACTGGTGTGAACGAAGGAACTGTATTGTGATTCCTCTGTTTCCATTATTTGTGCTGACCTAAGGGTTTATGAGTCTGTACAGTGGATTAGGAAACTGATCTGACTAAAAATCCAGCAACAAAGACCCCTCCTACATGCTGATGTTTCAAAAGTCTTTGACACTGTAGAAGGAATATTCACTGTCTAAGTACTTTTATTTTGTCTGAAATCTGTTTCTTTTGCACTGAGATGAATTTGTGCAGTTGCTTTCATGCATCTGTATTCTATGGGTCAAATGCTTCTAGTGCATCCAGGGAATAACAGACCTTAAATGTTCGAATTCGTGCTGCAAGGGTATTACTATATGTTGTAAAAATACCCGTGAGCAGCCAAAGATTGGGAGAGATTGAAAGCTGGATTTGGGCTAGACATGTAGTTGGACTGGGAGATCAAGTTGGTCCTGGGAATCATCAAGTGAATACAGAAACCAGCCTTTTTTTACAAGGAGGTATGACTTGCTGTTTTAGGATCAGGAACCATTCTAAATATGAGGTGAAGATTTGAGTTCTTTAGGAGCTCAAATCTGGATGTATCTGCCCTTAGTTCCTCGAGAAGGATTTACAAGTCAGATAGCATTTTGTGGTGCTCTATGTGCTTTGTTTTTCTTAGGGGATAATTCTGCTTTGAATTACAGAACTGTTCTTTAAAGAAAAAATAATTTTCAAAAGTTATCCCTAAGAAGTATCACTGAGACTTTAAAGTGTAATGCTTGCAAGGAAGGAAATGCTAGTTTTGTTTGTGCTTTTTTGTTATTTCATTTAAAAAACAGTATTTATGTGCAAGAAAATACAGCAGTCATTTAGATCATAGGAGAGAGATGCAGTGAAACACAAGTAAGGTAATGAGAGCTGCGTTGAGTCTGATCTTTTCTGGTGTACATTTAATTGATTTTTCTTGTAGCCTAATACTTCTGTCATTTGGTTTTTTTTGGTACTTAGTTACGAGTTAGTAGGAAAAAGCAGAGCAGACAACTTTGACATGAAAGCCTAGATGTAAAGATAGATGGCGCTGCTTCCGTGATTACCTGATCCTACTTTCATGCCCTTATTTTACATCACTGTCTTCATAGTGTCTTATAGTCTCTCAAATATTTTCACATGTAACACTATGAGTATTTCATTGTTAGACTGTGGGGGATATATTTTCCTCTTTATATTAATATGAGGGACATTTATGTTTATATATTAAAAAAACAATTTTGTTTTCAAAGTCAGTAGTTTGTAGTAAGTTCTGCCACAAGGCATTGTAACTGTTAAACAAGTAGGTTGTAACATACACTTTCCCTGAAAATTCTGACTATATGTCAGTGGTTTTGTGCTGTCTTGTAGGACTGCCTTTCAGGAGCACTACATACTGAATATGAGAATGGAAGCTCCCTAGTATACAAAGGTAATATAAACAATGGTGCTTTGATGTCTTTTCCAGGGAAAACATATACTAAAAGTGTATCATTCCTAAAATAATTTTAAATAGTTTTGTGTTTTCTCATTTTAAATAGGTAGACTTTCTTGATCAGGGGTTTTTGATGTCTGGGAGCCAGCCTGGAAGCATTAACATTCATATGAAGAGCACAAAGGATGCTTTAGTACAATGGTTCTCAACCTGTTTTTAAGTCCTGCTTGAAGTAGCTGGTAGCAGTCCACTTTATAATGCATACCTTTGGCTTTAATTTAAAGATACATGTGCATTTAATATTTAGAATGTCTTTAGGCTTCTTTAGAGACACATGTTGCTGGTGCATGTGGACAGGAGGGTAAAACAATGTATTTGACAGGTTTTGGTTACAGAAAAATTAGTATATGAAGGCAAGCTGTGAAACTTCAGAAAGACAAATCTGGTTTGAAGATTAAGTAATTCTTCCTGTAGTTTAAGTTATTATAATTCTTCATTCATCAGGTTGTGTCAGTGGTTTTTTTGGTTCTTAAGCCTCCATGACTATATAGCAAGCATTTCTAATGAGCCCTTGTCAAATTCTTAATGTCAGCTTCTCAAATGCAAAATAAAATTATTAATTTTTTTATATATTCCAGGTGACATGGACAGCTCACTGGAAAATACAGCTATTTCTTTATCCAAATGTTCTTTAGAGTCAGAACTTGCTGGAAGTGGAATAGAGAACAGCATCACATCTTCTATTGATTTGCTACGAAGTTTTAAAGTCTTGGATTGGTAAGAGGTGTTTTTTCTTCATCTCTTGTTTATTATCTCTCGCAATCTAGATAAACCATGAGTAAACAACACATTCAGATTGCCCACATCCAGAAGTTGTTTATGATTCTTGTTAAGTAAAGAACTGTTTGTGGCTGATGTATGAAATAACGTGAATGCTGATTTTGATGAAGAGTATTGTCTCACTTGCTTTCTAGTCTAATCTATGTTGGAATTGCTATTAGTAAACAGGGATAATATAAACTGGACTAGATGATATAAACTGAATATGGGGATGATATAAACTGAACTGGTGATATAAACTGGACTAGGAGGACAGCAAATAGCTCAGGCTGATGAACAGCTTTAAGTTTATTTAGAGATAATTTGATTCCAAAAGCCAAAAAATCTCTTCTCAGGGCTACTTTACACCAAATATGAAAAAAAGAGATTTGTATTTTTAACTTTCCTGGAATTTGGTGGTTGGTGGTAAGAAAAGAGTGTTGGTTTTACCTGCTGCATACATGTGCTTACAACATGAAAATTCTATTTATTGTTACCACTCTTAACTCAGCAACATTACTAATTATTGTGGATAAATTCTTGTGAGTAATAATGCCTTCCATCCAAATGATTTCACTCTACTATTTGTTATCAGTCAAATATAAAAATCTTAGATTGAGCAATGTTTACATTTTTATACAAATGTCTCTCAATGCTCTAAATGTAATATGTTAGAAAGGGACAGAATAATTTCAAATTATTGCTTTTTTTGTATTTTTTTAGTTTTGATAATGAGCAAGATTCTTTTTGTGATTCAAGCGGTCTAGAAATAGAAGAAAAGACCGTGAATTGCACTGAAAATTATGCATTTCAAAATAGAGCTATACATGCGGAAACAGGTAATAAATATTGAATTTTAAATATTTTCACAACTCTGTGTGACATATAACATGTAATTTAAAAAACGTTTTAGTAAATGTATTTCTCTTCAGTTCAGAAATACAATAATCAGCTAAAATGTATTTTAATTTGGGGATTTAACCTTTCATGTAGGTGTAGCTCCTTTAGAATTACTTTAGGAGGTCCAGACATACTTGATGCAATATTAACATATATTTTAAAAAGAAAAAACAACCTTTTATGAAACGGGTTGCCAGGTACTTTATAATATGAATGAAGAAACAGGGTCAGTTAGGTGGTTTGGGGTTGGTTGGTTGTTTTATTTTGTTTTAAGTAGCTAGCTGCATTAACGAATACTGCAACTCCGTTTAGTCAGATGTCTTTTGTCAGTGTAAGGATTGAAAACTGGCACTCGGTAGAGTGAGTGTTCTCTGTTGTTCAGTTAACTTAGGAAATTCTAACTGTAAGATTGTAGTAGGGACCAGCTGGCATTAATTCACTTCAACTGTTTGAAAATGTTGCCAAAATTAGAGGATTTTGTGAATCAGTGTAGCTCTGCCTCTTGTGGAGAGTTTTAGGTTTAGAAGAACATTCATGTATTATTTTGAAAGTGTATCTGGGAGTGTGGAGACAGCCAGCCAGCCAGCCAACCAACCCCAAGTGGCTAAAAGGAGTCTCAGAAGCCAGGCAGAACAGATCAATGGAACTGTGATAGACTCTCACCAAGAGTTGTAATAAATGGATGGGAACAGTTTTCTGAAAACACATTCCTTGTGATAAGAAAAAAAAAAAAAAGAATTGCACCAGAAAAAATGCATGGTTTACTGTATTTGGGATCAAAGGTGAAAGAAATACAAAACTCTGATAAATATCACATACATTTTTTTCAGATACAACTACTTTTTTCGGTTTTCTTTTTTTTTTCTTTCATGATTCGTGTAGCATTGTACTAGTTATGCTCTCCTTCCTCACCCCTGAAACTGACACTGTGGCAGAGCAACAGGTTTGGTTTATTGTTCTGCTCCAGCTGTGATGGATGATCAACCACAGGGTTGCCTGATGCATACCACCAATAAGCCCTGATAGCATCATTTGCTTATCTAGTAACTTTTTTACTGTTTCTTGGTGCTTCTTCTCATTGTACTTTTTTTCTCTTCCCCAGCTGCCTGCCAAATAGACAGCCTATTACTTTTACCTCATTGGCCTGAGTTTTGCTACATCAGTACCTGTTGTGGTTTAACCCCACAGGCAGCTCAGCCCCCCACAGTGGCCTGCTCACTCTGTCCCCACCCAGTAGGAAGGGAGAGAATCAGAAAGGCAAAAGTGGGAAAGCTCCTAGGTTGAGATGAAGATATTGTAATAGGTAAAGCAAAAGCCACGCATGCAAGCAAAGCAAAACAAGGAATTAGTTCACTGCTTCCCATGGGCAGGCAGGTGTTCAGCCATCTCCAGGAAAGCAGGGCTCCATCACACATATTGGTTACTTGGGAAGACAAAGTGCCATCACTCCAAACATCCTCCTCTTCCTTCTTCTTCCCCCAGCTTGTATTGCTGCACGTGATGTTGTATGATGGGGGGTATCTCTTCAGTCAGTTAAGTTCAGCTGTCACAGCTGTGTCCCCTCCTAACCTCTTGTGCTTGTTGTGTCCAGTAGTTTCTTAAGTCTTGTTCTGTTAACTTAGATGTCAGGCTGACGTCTAGTCAGCAGTGAATCACTTGCCTGAAGCCCTTACAAAAAGAATAGGAGATTTTGGTTACATTGTGATTCAGTCTGTGCATGGATCTCATGCAGGTATCAATGGAGTTTCTGTATTGAAGTGGAGGCCATAGTTTTACCTATAAAGCTCCATCACTGTTCAGTTCAAACAAGTAACGGAACAGAACTTTGAGCAATTCTTCATAATTCTTTAGGAGATTACATTCTCATTTTGATAACTCTTGCTCTATACTTGTCACTCTAAATGCCTAAAATAAGTTTTTGCTGTTTTGGAACAATTGTCATTGTTTATCTAGAACTAATTTTTTAATGTAAAATGGGTTTTTGCTTTCCATAGGCAGCACCTTACCATTCCATTTGGCTGCAAATACACAAGAAAATAGTGACCAAAATATTACTGATGGTTTGGTAAGGAAAATTATGAGTGGAACTGATGCTCAGGCATGCAATAGTCAAGGCTTAATACCACCTCACATCAGTCAAATTTATGATGAATTGTCTGTCATACATCAGAAACTCCAGGTAGGAAATGGAATCTCCTTAAAAAAAATTATTGAGTAATGTTATGAAGATTCTCATTTTTGACAGAGAATTCAGAAATTGCTTGTATACTACATCACTATTACTTATATACCAAAACTTGCTTACCTATATACTAGAAATATTATTTATTACTATTACTCATGCTAATCACAGTTACTCATATATTAAAACTCTGTCATCATTTGCCTCTTCCCCTAAATTAATTCACTGTTTTGCTAATGGTGCTTTGACTTGCATAGTGGGTAGATCAGATAAAATTCAGCTTGAGGGAGTTTGAACACAGTGTTGCTATGTCCAGGAGGAATGTCTTGTGGTGCACTGTGGGCGTGGAGGGAAATACCTGCAACCATTGCTTCTCCTGAGAGCATCTGAAACTATTCTCCAGGATCCAGGCATTCAAGAGTTCTTGCTTTCATGGCCTCCTGCAAAAAACCTCCATTCTGCCATAACTTTCTTTTTGTGCTGCTGTGGTATCCCAACATTTCATCCTCTAGCAGGTCCAGGCCACTAACAGAAGAACCTTCTTTATGGTTTTATTCTGTAATAGCTCCCATGCTTCTGCTAGATTCCCTGCCAGGACAGTCTTTGGCACTGTATGAAATAAAAATAAAAAAAGTTTTGTATCTCTTTTTCCTCACCGCTTTTTTTCAGTGATGCTTCCCACTAATCGAAGGAACAATGTAGTAATCTAGTGTTGAGGGTAGACAGTTGCATCAGACTCTGTTTTGTCTTATGGTTAATACTGTTATCCAAAGCTGCTGAAAGCATAAGCCTGAGTTTAATTACCTAGGTTTATACTTGAAAAACCATGTAGGGTTGAATTTTGTATTTTGGGAGGCCGAGCTAACCTGATGCACATCAAAGTCATTTGGGTTAACGTCTTGGAGAAATTGAACATAGATGGCCATCAGGATACTTTTAATTAGTAAATTATTGTGTAGCACTCTGTAATTTTGCAAAAAGCTAATCATGTCTCTGAGAGAGAAAATTCAAATTCAGTATAAATTGTGATAATTTCATGGGTTTTAAATCCATTTCAACTTTTTTTTTTTTCTTGATACAGAGAGAAAGTGCAGCACAGCGGGAGTATGCTCTGCAGCTCCAGAAACGAGAGCATTTTCTAACAGAGCGAGAAGCATTGCTTTTTAGACATGAAGCAGCTTTGGCTAAAATAAGAGGTGTTGAGGAAGAAGTTCACACAAAATTTGGAATTATAAAAGAGGTGCAGTAATATATTTAATGATGTTTATTGTTCTTCATGCCATTTAACTTGTTTGCCTTTATCTTAAGCCATCACATGTTTGCTGGATATAATGCTTCCTGCTTTAAAGTGCTTGAAATCCCCAAATGAAACCTTTATGTAAAAAGTCCGAGACGATATTGTCAGGGTTATTGTATGGCTTCTATTTTCAGAATGGTGCATTTAGTAATCTGATATATAGGTTCATTTTACTGTTACAAATTAGAAAAGAAGGTAACTTGTTTCTAGAATAGCAAAAACTATATGACCAGTATTAGGTAAAAAATGTGGTCTGTCTGTAAACGTGTGTAACTTCAATGAGTATCTTTGCATTAGCTGTAGCTGAGGTAGATTTCCTTGGCAGGGCTTTAAGACACAGTGAGATGTGTTGTGGTTTATAAAGCCATGGGGACAGTTTTTGCTAAACATCTGGTGGGCTGAGGCAGGGAGAGGGAGGGTATCACTCACCACTTAGGGTCACGGGCAAGAAACCAACACGACTTGGGAAGAACAAGAAAACAATTTATTAACTATTTACAACAAGAAGCAAGATACTGAGAGAGAGAAACCACATCTTAAAAAGGCACTTCTCCCCCAACCCTCCCTTCTTCCCAAAGCCCAAAGGCTTTGTTCTTTACCTTCTCCCCCCGCCAGCAGCGCAGGGGGGCAGGGAAGGGGGGATGCAGTCAGTCCGCCGCTCTTTCCTCCTCAGGGGAGAGCTCCTCACAGTCTTTCCCGGCTGCAGCGTGGGGGTCTCTTCTCACGGGAGAGCCCTTCTCAAGAGCTACTCTGGCGTGAGTCCTTTTCCAAACGGGGCTACAGTTGTCCCCTGACAACTGCCCATCTCCGGTGTGGGCTTCTCCGTAGTTCCAACGTGGGGTCCTCCACGGCTGCATCTTCCTTCACCACGCTGCAGGGGAAGTGCTGAGAGCGTTCCCTTTCATAACTCTGACCGAGTGTCTGCGTGGCTGTCTCCCTCAAAATCTTGCTCCTCTCTCCGCCACAGGTCTTCATCGGCTCCCGGGAAAACGGTAAAAAGGACTCTCGGGCGAGTTATGGCGGAGGCTTGGGCTACTGCAGGTCAGTTCGCAGAAGCCAAGCAGGCGGCTGGACGGCCGGACCAGCCCGCCTGAGCTGGGCCCTGCCCTGGGCCGCACCAAAGCCATTGCTCCGTGCCCCCTCTTAAATCTGTTATTCGCAGAGGTGCCGATTGGCTCAGCCCTGGCCTGGGGTGGGTCCAGCCTGAAGCTGGGGAAACTTCCAGCAGTTTCTCACAGGGGCCAGATTGGTAGTACTCCTTCCCCCACTCCCCCTCCCAGTTACCAAAGGCTTGGAGCTGGGGGATGGGGGTGAACCCTTAACAGCCACTTACAGGAGGCACCACTGCAGCCCCTCCCTTGCTGCCAGCAGAGCTGGAGTCCAGGGAAACCTTTTGCAGCTACAGGAGCCATTACTGTGGCCCCTCCCTGCTACCAGACAAAACCCCACACACAAAACCATAACAGATGACATAACAACTATTGCAGAGAACATTAGCAAAAAAACCACTCAAAAAGTTCAAAGGAAGGAAAGATTACCCTAACTTTGGGGGTATAGAAGGAAGTTAAGTGGTATGATTTCAAGAACAGAAAAATATGTTCAACAACACTGTTCTTGTAGGTGTTTGTATTGAATTTAGGTCTTGTGAAAAGTTTTGGTTATTTTCTAGAAGATCACCAGAAGTCCTTAAGTATACGTACTTAATGTCAAAACCATAAGCTGAGAAATAAAATTTATTTGAAGTGTGCAGATAAACCTTTCCCACAAGCTCTTGAGGGAGGATAGATTTCACATTAAAAAGGGGAAGAGGGTGTCAGAGGAGAGGGACCTCAACTTTTGAATAGGGAAGGAATAATTTAAGGTGTTAATTTAGATGTTTCAACTCTTTTGGGCTTTAAGAAAGTTACACCAGTCAGAGAACTGGCTGATGAAAACCCAGGAAAAATCAGTGGTTATAAAATGTGGTGCCTTTCTTTTGGGAAGGTGAAGAGTTGTACAGCCATTAACTTAATGTCAGTTCTCTAAATAAATAAATAGGTAAATAAATCCTGAAACAAGGTATCAACAAACAGTCGGAAGCACAATGCAGAAAACAATGCAATAAATAACTACTGGCGTATGTTAATCATAAATTGTCAAATCAGTCTGATTTCCATTGCAACAAGTTAATAGGCCTTGCTAATAGAGAAGTAGTAGTTACATGTATGTCTGGACTTAATTAGAATTTTTTTATACAGTTTTGCATGGCATTTTCATGATTATATTAGGAAGTATAACATAGATGTAATGCAGCTGGTGTAAAGCTGTAGTGAGACAGTAGTTCACAGTAAAGTTGAAGGAATGTACACAGTGGATTCTTTTCAGTCCAGTATTATTCAGTATTTTTAATAAGAAATTTGATGGCGAGAAAGAGCATGTTTATTAAATTTGAATAAAATAGCAAGTGAGGGGGAATTTCAAGCATGCTGAAAAAGAGCATTAGGATTAAAATTGATCTTGACAAATTGAAGGTGTGGTAGGTCTGGAAAAAAAGTTATACTGTTCCAAAGGTGTGAGTGTACAGTATTGCACATGAATAGAAATATCGACTGCAGAAATAGCGGATGAGCAGATGCATGGGTTCAACATACAGGATGAATTGAGAGTGAATGTACCAAGCTTCAGCTACATAAAAGGCTGCAACAAAGAGGAAGGAATGATGTTTTTTTTCCATGTCTGTGATAGGAGAAGTAGTAGTGGTAGTAAGGGAAAATTAGGTTAAGTGTTAGGAAAAACTAGATCTAAGCAAAAATAGTTAAGCATCAGGACAGGTAGATCACTAAGACTGCAGTGTTTCCAGTATTGGATGACTTAAGAACAGACTCTTTATCAGGAGTGAAATGGTATAGCTGGTTATGATATGGATGACGTCGCCTGATTTGCTTATGGAAGAAGTCGATGGCTTAAACATTGTGGCATCACCTGCAGCCTTATGGCTTAGCAACCAAATTGGTTCTACTTACTTTTCAGATTAATAATTCTTTACTGATTCTTCCTAGAGCGGCTATTGAACTTCAAGTGAAGCTCTTAGTTGTGTACATAGAAAATGGAAGTGAAGCAGTATCTGCATGTTTATTGGTATGAAAAGGGGATCTGTCATTTCATGTCATCTTAGCCAAGTGTGGGTAGGTGCTTTAGACAAATTCTGTCTTCTGTCCTGCCCACAGCTGTTTTGATCCTATTGACTGAAGAAGAGTGGCAATTGAGAAAAAAGCAATTGTAGATGGTTTTCCTTTATAGGTGGAATGGAAGTTCCTATTTGTTGCAGGGGAAGTGAGAGAGAGTTATGCATTTTGCTTGCAAGAGAGAAGCAACAATGCACTTTATTGATATAAAACAGTGAATTAACACAGTTCAGTGGTAAATGTGACAGTGGTTTAACAAGATTTGATGGCAAGGTACACTTGATTATTTACTGCGTAGAGGACAAGGTCGGAAAACTGTCAGGGTGACCCTCCCCTTGAATCATGAGGTTCAGGAAGGAACCTCTTGCTTTTTAAACTCCTGCTTAGAGAGGAGTCTAGGTGCAGCTGGATCCAGACTTGCTCAACAGTTTATGTCTAAAGGATTACATATGCACAATCAATCCTTAATATCACTTAGCTAGGATAAGTTTCAGCACTTATTTCCAATTAATTTTCCAAGTATCTGATGTGATAAGGATTCTCTCAGCCTCACAGAGTAACCCTGAGAGGTGTCTCTACTCAAAGGGAGATCCTGATGTGCAACCTGCTGCCATGCAGGAGAGATCAGTGGGCCCTGGGCTGTCTACTGTTTATGGAGTAAGATGTTGACATATAGTCATATTTGCATACCAACTGTATTTTGGTTAGTGCATGCTCAGCTAGCACTCAGCTGTTGAGCAAGATGCACAAGATAACCCTTGGCTATTGTGTTGTTATCTGTCTCCCCAGAGTCCACCTTAAGCCACATGCAGCCATGGTGACCACCACTGGTGGTTACTGCTTAAGCCAGGGTGGGGGAAGGGGGGAGCGCACTGTCACACTGTGCTTCCAAGCAGAAATATAGAGAAGGATCTCTTCAAGGCTTGCTTCCTTTAAACCGCTACTGTGCTTTATTTTTGTCATTTGCACATGTAGGAAGAGAGGATATGACTAGAAATGGAAAAATAGAGAATGAGTGTGTGAATGAGTAATGAATAATGAATTCATGGAAGGGGAGAAATGAAAGAGAGTAAGTATATGTAGCTGGAATATTTTCAGTAAAATAAAATTTTGCTGTTTTATCAAATTTGAGGTACACCAGATACACTGGTGTCCAGAGAATATTAAATCCAAAATAAGATTCAGGGGAATGAGAAGAATGATAGTGGATATGCAGGTTGTAGTTAGCAATTCATATGCTTGTGCTGTAAACCAGAGCACTAGTTTAAGAGGCATAAAATTAGCTTCTTGCTCTGCATGATTCAGAGTGAGCAAAGCCAGAAGAACTATTTGAAACCTCAAAAGCTGCTGCAAAACAAAATCACAGGCTTTTGTCATTATACAGAAGAGTAAACTGTAAATAAAAGCTTTGTCATTGGTTTTAGTTCACAAAACTTTCACACATCTGACTTGTCTGAGAAATGTATGTATTGATATAATCTCTTTTGGGTAGATTCTAGAAAGAATAAGAGCAATGGCTGTGCACGTTTCTTTATAGATTCTTGTTAATATGCAGGGTGGATATTTTCTCACTACTAGCTGAACGTTCAGATTTGGCCATGCAGAATGGCAAACTTGATCTTCAAAGTTTGTCCTATTGTTTTAACACTAAAATGGAACTTAGCTTAGAATTGTTTCAGAAGTAGTCTCTTGTAAATCATATTTTTAAATTTGATATTTCTATAGCAACACAAAGCAGAAGTTAAACAGCTGACAGAAGCCTTGAGAGAAATAACTAAAGAAAATAGGAGGCTGAAGTCCTCATTTGACACCTTGAAGGAAATGAATGACTCTTTAAAAAAACAGGTAAAATTAGTTATTTCCTATTGTCAATAATTGTACAAATTGCAGTCAACAATTTTAAATATTTGAACAGATTAAGTTTGCAAAATTGCTGATTTTTTTGTTTCCATAAGACGAGAACTGTATGAATGACTGAAAGTACATTCCACACCTTCTGTACTTGAAATTTAGCCTCTTTTACTGTATAAAAAATAGTTGGACTTATTTCTCTGATGCACTAGCAACAGCTAATTGTAAGAAGGATGAATTCATGTTCTCTGAAGCAAACTCAGGGTGGATGGAGAGAAATAACATAATAGAATCCACCCTGTGCTGAATTGCTGTGCTGATTCTATTAAATAAAAAGCAGAATGTGCATTTCTAACTTCATGTTTGCTCAATATATTCAGTTATTTTTGCAAACGTTAATTAAGGCAGTATTTTCTCAGTTCTTAAACTGAGACAGTAGTTCATAGTAGTACAGAGAGTGAGAGTTTTCATCTCACTTGACTGTTAAGTCTGATCTAAAATGCTGACACACAAATTGTTGTGTAAACTATTTGACCATTGTTTATTCATTGAATTAATTACAGTTCTGATAGTCTGAGTACGATAAAAATCTACATCAGAGCCTTATTGTTTCCCTTAGAGGTCAGACGTAACTCCCAGAATGTTGATGGTTCTGGTGCAACCTGTCTGTCTCTTTATTTCCCTTGACTATAAAGTCTTTGCATTTCTGTCCAAACTGGGGGCTTCTATGATAATTATGCTGTTCATTGTTGTATGTATAGATCATGTTTCTCATATTTAAATTGAAGTTACAGTTTCCCCCATCTTTTCTCACAGAGCAAATTGGTTTTGTAGCATGGTCAGCAACTGTTTCATTCTGCAGAGAAGAAAAATTTCACCTTCTCCATTAACAAGGCTATTGGACCATTCTTGAAATGTGTGCTCCATTTTTATGTCACTTCTTCATAAAAAGTAATCAAACGTGTAGTGCCTGTATACCTATAGAGAGGCCCCGTAGTGCTTATTCTTCCCCTGTAAACTGAAAGGTTGGGCTGCAGGTCAACAAAGAGCTACTGCTGTCTTATTTGTCCTGGAACAGGTTGCCCAGAGAGGTGGTGAAGTCTCCCACCTTGAAAATCTTCAAAAGCTGTGTGGACATGGTCCTGGCCAGCTGGCTCTGCTTGATCCGGGAGGTTGGATGATGAGCTCTAGAAGTGCCTGCCAACCTCAACCATTCTGTGATTTTGTGATTTGTTGAGGAGGTGGATGATTATTTTATTTCTATCGCTTTACACATTCAGAAGAAAAAACTTAAATAATAAACTTAAATAATCTATCTGCTCAGCAACCACACTGAAATATTTCAGTGCGATAATTAAGTCAAGAAGTGGGTTTTGAATTTACAGATACTTTAATATTTTCTAATTCTTTCAGTTAAGTGATGTAACTGAGATGAACAAGAAGTTGGAAGGTCAAGCAAGAAAAGTACAAGCTCGTTTAGAGAATCTACAGGTAAGGTTTGTTCTTGCGTGTACCTGCTTTCTTTAAAGGTAACAAGTCAAATATAATTAATTGTTACATTTTTTTTTATAGAGGAAGCATGAATTTTTAATTGTACAGAAGTCTAAGGGTGTATGCCAAGTGGTGCAACAAAGTAAACCTGTCAAGCAGGAAAAAGTGATGGTAACATCAAAAATTACTAAGGTAAGAATTGGGCAAAATCAAAGTTTCATTCCGAAGACATTAGGCAGTGGAAAAATTCTCTGTGTATCTGCTAGAAATTGGAAAATGTAAATTCCAATTTTACTTCTTTTATGAGTGAATTAGCTACAGTAGGAAAGGATACGGATTATATTGGGGAAAACAGGCAATTAACAAAGAATTAAGCTTGTTGCTAAAAATGTCTGTGGGATTTCATATTGTCTATGTATATAGTGTATGTGTATATTTTAATTTATATTATAAATTTTCCTCTTCCTGTCACATCATCTTTAATCTGTCAATTAAAATTATAACCTGCTTACACTGTTACTGGTTTCTTTCCCTGTGTCGGAGCAAATTTTAAACTAATTCTGGTTACTGCTGCACTACAGCACTGTTTTTATGAGTAACACCAGCTAAAAAGTAGTTGGCCAGAGGTATCGGATAAAGAATTTTAATTCTGTAAGCCAGAGGTGATTGTATTCCTGTTATTTTTTTGAGAAAGAAATAGGGTTTTGAGTCTTTAATGAGGGAGAGAGAATAAATGCAGTGTTCATACACTGTTCCAAAATTATTACATTGTTTTCCTTATAGTATCTTTTTACATCACTTAATGAAATGCTTTCTGTCTCTATATTGTTCTGTTTAGTAGCACGTCCTCTGGTAGTATTCTGACAACACTTCCCAACTGATAATGATTTTCTCCAGCTAGAAGCTAAACTGTGAATTGGGAAAGCGATATTCACACCATCCTACTTAATTAATCTGCATCAGGTGCCTTAAAACTGTGCTGTCTATATATAGCAAACGTGTTTCTCTGTTTACTTAGGTTTTGGCATACTTTGGTTGCGAGTGAAATATAAAAATTATCAGTAGTTAAGGTTCTGAGTGAAGAGGAAAACAGTTATCTGAAAGTAGATACAAGAACATTTTTGAAGTCTTTAGAGAACTGTCTGTACAGCCTGTCTTCAGGTACCTCTGGGTGTCTTTCATAGAGTATTTCATTGTAATGTGATAGAGAGACAGAATTGCCATTTCATTAAGTCTTTGTTCTTCTTCTAACAATGCTAGTTACCCAGTTAAATTTTAACAACAGTGGATTGTATGGTCTAATGTAGAGGTCTAGTGCACTGAAATGAGAATTTCCACACGTAAAGGACGTTAAAGATTTGCTTTCTCATGTAATTCATTTGGACAAAATTATAAAACTGAGTGATTCTGTATGTGAAAATCTTTTCCCAGGCCTGTTATAACCATTTGTGAAAGGATTAAATAAATTATGTATATATTTTTTCATACTTGGAAACCATCACAGATAGTACCTGTTCTGCAATGGGAAGGGGAGTGAGGTGTGAGAGAGAGAAACAATGCAGGGTTCTTTGTGGATTTCTATAAGAAAGGCCTGCCAAATGCCTTAATAAAACAGCTATTTTAATAAGACAGAATAAGAGGAGGAATATAGATAACAAGTAGATATTACATCACTTAAAATGCTGGGAGCCTTGTGTTTGTGCAGCATCAGATGGAGCCCCAGTGGATTTTTCCCAGGGCACACTGAGTAGGTCTTGTCCATGGAGAGAAGCTCCTCCTTTTTGGCTATTCAAGCTATTATCTAGTTTTCTTGCAAGAAAACAACCCTATTCATGTAGGACATTCTTATTGCCCTTTTAGACAAAGGCAAGGCCAGCCCGGAGGCATGATCACTGGTACCAAGTGGGAGCTGCCTGCAAGCTCCTGTTACAGTGAGCTGTCTGAGTTTATCCTGTGGCCAAGCACAGGATCAACTGTGCAGTTGATTGATCTGTGCAGCACAGGACAGGCTGCACCTACTCAGGTTAACTGGGATGTGGATCTCTGGCTCCTCAATATACAGTGGTCTCTGGGTCAGGATCATCACATTCCACCTTTTGGTCCACACACAGTTTGCCTTTCCCAGAGATGATATAAGTTACAGGTTATACTTACAACATACAGGTTCCTCAAACACTGGGTACAAGGCCCAACAGAGCAGACATGGCCTGTTCAAGATAGCTATTTCCTCGAATGTAATGTTTTCTACAAGCTCACAGTACAGTAACTTGCCTCCCAGATTTCATCAGGCATATACTCACTGTCCATTAAATTATGTGTAATATTTTAGTACTAATATGCTCTCATATATTTCACTCTGTTACTGTTTTGGCTTAGAAAAGTCATTAAGTTGAAAACTGAAATATCTGATGTTGTGGATATATTACAGCTACCACTGAATTCACAAGTTTATGAGCTCTTAACTTTTCTTATGGATTGGCTCTCAGACCAGCACCTTAGTAAAATACAAGTACAAGAAGAAAGAGAGGACAGTCATAAACTTCTGGTTACTCAGACTTCCAAAAAAGCCTGCACCCAGGAAAGGTGTATGAAGGTAAAGGATTTTGGATTGTTTTCTTGTGATGAGATGTTTTTGGATTTATGGGGTTTTAAAAATTATTTTGAAAATATAACAGGTCAGCCTGTTTTACACATGCTTTGGGTACAGTAATTGAAACAAAACCACTGTTACTAAGTCAGTATTAATTCCAGCAGTGAAGTATAATAGGTAATTTGTCATCTGTAAAGCATACAGGTAATTTTTAAGGAAAAGTGTGGTGTTCGGTCTCAACTTGGGAGTTTCAGCATTTTATTTCAAGTCACTTCTGTTACCTGATAATTTGCCTTGTATTTTTGTGTAATGCTGTACATAATTCCTTTTTTCTAAGGAGGTGAACCTATCTAATTTACAATATTTCAATGCCTATCTTAAGTATTAAAGTTTCGATTTATGACTGTTAAAAAGTATTACTATGCTATACTTTTAACACTTTTATGGTTTTCTTTTTGGGGATATCAAGATTTGGAAATCAGTGAGGTGTTCAGAAAATCTTCTTTTACTGTTTTTCTTCATTATATTGAGGATTTATAGCCATTGGGATTAGATTTACTGAGGTTGAGTGGAGATATATCTCCACTTTTGCATGTAAACCTCTGTACAGTTTAAAATCTGTCTATGCGTGTAATTCTGTTAACTGTACTGGATCTACCCAATGAGTAATTCCGTATGTAATCTGTTAACCTCCAAGAGAAAATGGGGAGGTTTGTTTGTTTGTTTGTTTTTCACTTATTAGGGAAAAAGGTTAGCTTATATTGTAGTTTCATATACTGCATGTAATTCTACTTTTGTATATTTTTACAGCTTTTGCCTGTAGCTTCTGAGCAACTCCAGTGGATGCCATTTGTGAATCCTAAACTACATATGCCTGTGATTAAATTTATTTACTGGTCTATAAGACAGCTAGACACTGGTATTCAGGTAAAACAAGTAGTCCTTTTGCAGTATAGTTTTTTAAAAAGTAAATTCCTGGAAGATATTGTGTTTTAAATACATATGAAAAGTGGATGTTTTCAGGTAGTGTATATAAAAGAAACTCTTCTGTCTTTGCAAACCATAAATTCATATTTCAAGTTAATTATTTTTCAAGTTAGTTTTAAATTTTACATTTTGTATCTAAACATAGTTTTCATACGTATGTGATCTCTGTTGTCGCGTCTGAGCGTCTCAGAAACTGTATTTTTACATATGTATTTACAAAAACTTTTGCACTAGAAAAGGCAATGTTTTTAGGTGAATTTTATACATGAGAGTTTTTGAAATCAGTAGAAGTCTGTGGCAAAGCAGCAAAGGAATTTGGATTTTTCTGTTCTTTGCTCAGTGTCTAACCACAAGACATTCCTTACATCCTTTGACTAGACTGCTATAAGAAAATATTTAGCAGTGTAATAAAGAAAAAGACGGTAGCCATACTGTAAAGATTCTGTATAGTGCCTAGTGCTGTCAGTAGTGTTTTTGCTAAAGCAAAAGGAAGGAAACATTGTCAATCTCTTGAGTTTAATTCAATAGAATAGTAGTCTGCTGGTTTCAGTCCGAGTAAGAAACTATTTTAAATGAGCATATTGTGAAGGTTGATTCTAATGTAATATTTGTTTGTCATTAAAAGTCTAATAGATCTTACCAGTACAGTATTCTTAAGGTTCATGTTTAGACCTTGATTATGCAAATGGTTTTGCGGGATATAACTTCAGGCAACCTTACAAAATAGAGTTGACTGAACCTGAGCTTGTTCTGGAACCAGAGGCGACTTAAATAATGTCAGCATATCAGGGGCCCTCACGAACTAGTCTGTTTGTGAAGTATGTGTTGATCAGGCACTGTGATAATGTTGTTCAACTGCTTTTGGAACACAAAGTAGTATCTCCTGTACAGATTATATTCCAATACATGGTCAAACCATTTGCTATTTGATATTTAATTACTAGGGGAACATATGTATCTCTACATAATACATAGGATTTTAGTGTGTTTAAAAGTTTACACTAACTGTGTGCATTGTTTTGAAACAGCATGCAGCAATGACATCAACAATGAGGAGACTTGGAGAAGATATTTTCAAAGGCATAGTAAGTAAGGGAAACCCACATAGTTCTTCTGAACAGTCTGCAGAGAGAAAATCAAAATCAGCAGCTTTCTTTAAGAGTTCCTGTATGCCTTTGAGGTTTCTGTCAACTTTAATTGTGCTTAAAACAGTGACACAAGGTAAGTTCTGATTTTTTTTTTTAGTTTTTTATTTGTTTCAGTTGTGTGCCTGCACAAAAAACATTTCTGTGATATTGTAGCATCTAGCTTTATTAGTGAAAAGTGGTTTTACTTGAGTTTTGATACCTTGTGAGGCAAAATATATTGGAAACAAGTATGAATCTTGCTATTACTCATTTCATGTTGGAATTTGTGCTTTCCTTGTAATATGACCTTGTAATATATCTTGCCTGACCGATCTGGTGGCCTTCTATGATGAAGTGATGACATCAGTGGACAAAGGAAGGGTGACAGATGTAATTTACCTGTGCAAAGCCTTTGACATGGTCCCTCACCACATCCTTCTCTCTAAATTGGAGAAGTATGGATTTGAGCAATGGACCATTCAATGGATAAAGAATTGGTTGGCTGGTCACATTCAAAGGGTTGTGGTCAATGGCTCTATGTCTGAATGGAGGCTAGTCAGAAGTGGTGTCCCTCAAGGGTCTGTCTTGGGACTGGTGCTCTTCAACATCTTTATCAACAACATAGATAAGGGAATTGAATGCACCCTCAGCAAATTTGCGGATAACACCAAGCTGAGTGGTGCAGTTGATACAATAGAGGGAAGGAATGCCATCCAGAGGGACCTGGACAGGCTGGAGAAGTGGGCCCATGAGAACCCAATGAGGTTCAACAAGGCCAAGTGCAAGGTGTTGCACTTGGGCCGGGGGCAATCCCAGGTACTTGTATGGACTGGGGGAAGATCTCCTTGAGAGCAGCCCTGGAGAAGGACTTGGGGGTCCTGGTGGACGAGAAGCTGGACATGAGCCAGCAGTGTGCGCTTGCAGCCCAGAAGGCCAACTATGTCCTGGGCTGCATTAAAAAAGGGGTGGCCAGCAGGGAGAGGGAGGTGATTCTCCCCGTCTACTCTGCTCTTGTGAGACCCCATCTGGAGTACTGTGTCCAGGCCTGGGGCCCCCAGCACAAGAAAGACATGGATCTCTTGGAATGAGTCCAGAGGAGGGCCACAAAGGCTGGAACACCTCTTCTATGAAGAAAGGTTGGGGTACTGGGCTTGTTCAGCTTGGAGAAGAGAAGGCTCCGGGGAGACCTCATTGCGGCCTTCCAGTACTTGAAGGGAGCCTATAAACAGGAGGGGGAACGCCTGTTTACAGGGGTTGATAGTGACAGGACGAGGGGGAATGGTTTTAAACTAAGAGAGGGGAGATTTAGGTTAGATATTAGGTGAAAATTTTTATGCAGAGGGTGGTGAGGCACTGGAACAGGTTGCCCAGAAAAGTTGTGGATGCCCCATCCCTGGAGGCATTCAAGGCCAGGCTGGATGGCGCCCTGGGCAGCCTGCTCTAGTGGTTGGCAACCCTGCCCACAGCAGGGGGGTTGAAACTAGATGGTCTTTAAGGTCCTTTTCAACCCAGGCCATTCTATGATTCTATGACGACTTGTTGTCAGACAAATCGACATTTTTGAAGAAGGGGAAAAGACATGTTGGTAATTCTGTCAAACTGTCACTACAGCAGTGATTGGATTGCCAAGATCTTTACTGCATAGAGTGGCACAGCTAGTTGCCCTTTCATGAACTGAAATAAGTAGCAGATTTTGCACCGTTCTAGAATTTCACTGTCCTGTTTAAGGTAGTAGGTTTTTTAGCTATGCCCTGGAAGGCTGATCAGCTGCAGTGTCAAGTGTTTCTTTTCTGGTATAGTTATTTACAACTTTGCTGTATTTATCTTTATAGATAAATCTGGTGTTCATAGGTATTTCTGATTTATCTGTAGTCACATAGATAAAGACATTTGTGTAGTGGATTATAATTGTTAGATTGAATTGTGATACAGTATCTGTCCTGAAGTTGCTTTGGCCCTTGGTCTAAGTTTAGTATATGGTTCATACTCTAGCACTTACCTGTCTGCTGCTCTCCTCTTCTCCTACCAAGTCTGGCACTGCAAATGGCTGCCCATAAAACATGATCAACATTAAAAAATAATAATCTGTGAAATTGTCAGTTCTTGATATGATTGTCCATTCAGATTTCACTGTTAAATACACTAATTTACAAAGGCACAATGACCATGTTCTGTTTACATAAAAATGTTCCTCATGACTTCAAAGCCACCTGTCTAGCATGAAAAGTGGCATTGTTATCCAAAATATTCAAAAAAATCCTATGTTGATGTAGTATAGTAGTGTACTTTGTTAACAAGGCAAAAGGAAATAAGGTAATATCAGGAGATATGACAGGAGCAGTCTGAGGAGTATCAAGAAGGATTACAGAGGCTTGGGAGCAGTGGTAAGGGACTATGGAGCACAGGTAGTTTTTTCATCAATCTTCCCAGTCAAAGGGAAGCAGTTTGAAAGGGCCAGTTGAATCTGGCAACTCAATGAATGGTTACACAACTGGTGCCACAGCCAGGGGTTGGCTACTTAGAGCATGGGACTTGCTTTGAGAAACCTGGTCTTGTGGGGGCTGATGGGGTCCATCTGTCAGACAAGGGGAAGAGCATCTTTGGTCATCAGCTTACCAAGCTGGTGAAGAGGGCTTTAAACTAAAATTGCCAGGGGAGGGGAACCTCTGCCCATCCCACTCCTACCAATTTGGTGTCAATGCCAGCAGTAGGTGCCCAGAGCCTGGAGAAGGATCACAGGTCAGCAGGAGAGCACCTGCAGAGCAGCACAAAGGAATTCCAGTCAGTGAGTCAGCTTCATCGGGCACCCAGCTTAAGTGCCTCTATGCAAACACACGTAGCATGGGGAATAAACAAGAGGAGTTAGAGACGTGCACACACCTGCAGGGCTGTGATCTTATTGGCATCAGAGAGAGCTGGTGAGATGGCTCCTAAAACTGGAATGTTGGAATGGAAGGATACAGGCTCTTTAGGAAGGACAGACAGGGGAGACAAGGAGGCAGCATTGCCCTCTATGTCAGTGCCCAGGTGGGGTGCATGGAGCTGCGCCTGGGGATGGGTGAGGAGCTGACCAAGAGCTTATGGGTCAGGATGAAAGGGAGGGCAAGGACAGGGGACATTATTGTGGAGGTCTGCTACAGGCCACCTGACGAGAAAGACCAAGCAGATGAGGCCCTCTGTAGACAGACATGAGTAGCCTCGCATTCACAAACCCTGGTCCTCATGGCGGACTTCAGACACTGTGATATCTATTGGAGGGACAACACAGCACAGCATAAGCAAGCCAGGAGTTTCCTGGAATGAGTTGATGATAAATTACTTCTCTAAGTGATAGAGGAGCCAATGAGGAGAGGTGCTATGCTGGACCTTGTTCTCACCAACAAGGAAGGGCTGGTGGGGAATGTGAAGCTCAAGGGCAGCCTGGGCTGCAGTGACCATGAAATGCTGGAGTTCCAGATCCTTAGGACAGCAAGGAGAGTGCACTCAGGAGTTTCCTGGAATGAGTTGATGATAAATTACTTCTCTAAGTGATAGAGGAGCCAATGAGGAGAGGTGCTATGCTGGACCTTGTTCTCACCAACAAGGAAGGGCTGGTGGGGAATGTGAAGCTCAAGGGCAGCCTGGGCTGCAGTGACCATGAAATGCTGGAGTTCCAGATCCTTAGGACAGCAAGGAGAGTGCACTGCAAACTCACTCCCCTAGTCTTCAGGAGAGCAGACTTCGACCTCTTCAGGCATCTGCTTGGTAGAGTACCATGGGATAAAGCCCTGGAAGGAAGAGGGGCCCAAGAAATCTGGTTAATATTCAAGGATCACTTCCTCCAAGCTCAGTAATGATGCATCCCAACAAAGAGAAGTCAGGTAAAAACACCAGGAGGCCTGCGTGGATGGACAAGGAACTCCTGGACAAACTCAGACATAAATGGGAAGCCTACAGAGGGTGGAAACAAGGACAGCTAGCCTGGGAGGAATACAAAGAAATTTTCCGAGCAGACAGGGATCAGGATAGGAAAGCTAAAGCCTTGATAGAATTAAATCTGGCCAGAGATGTCAAGGGCAACAAGAAAAGCTTCTATGGGTACACTGGTGATAAAGGAAGAGTAGGGAAATTGTGGGCTCTCTCTGGAAGGAAACAGGAGACCTGGTTACCTGGGATATGGAGAAGGCTGAGGTACTCAATGACATTTTTGCCTCAGTCTTCACCAGCAAGTGCTCAAGCCACACCGCCCAAGTCGCAGAAGGCAAAGGCAGGGACTGGGAGAATGAAGAACTGGGTACTGTAGGAGAAGATAAGGTGCAAGACCACCTAAGGAACCTGAAGATGCACAAGTCCATGGGACCTGATGAGATGCACCTGTGGGTCCTGAGGGACCTGGTAGATGAAGTTGCTACGCCACTATCCATCCTATTTGAGAAGTTGTGTCAGTATGGAGAAGTTCCCACTGACTGGAAAAAGGGAAACATAACCCCCATTTTTAAAAAGAGAAAAAAGGGAGACCCAAGGAACTACAGGCCAGTCAGTCTCACTTCTGTGTCTAGCAAGATTGTGGAGCAGATCCTCCTGGAAACTATGCTCAGGCACATGGAAAATAAAGAGGTGATTGGTGACAGCCAACATGGCTTCACTAAGATGATCTTTAAGGTCCCTACTAACCCAGACCATTCTTATGTTTCTGTGAGATAACACAGCTCTGAAAATAGTGACTTCTGCTTCAGATCATGACATGTTACTCCACTTGTGCAGTTTTCAAGATACTGTGGCAAATCTTCTTAGTGGGGCCTTCTTTGAAAATAGATATGATCTGAAAAGACCACATTTTCTTTAGTGATGATAGAATCATAGAATGGTTTGGGTTGGAAAGGACCTAAAAGATCATCAAGTTCCAACCCCCCTGCCATGGGCAGGGACACCCTCTACTAGACCAGGTTGCTCAAAGCCTCATCATGAAAATGGGCTGTTTCTTGTGAGTTTTGAGTGTTGAGGACAATATGAGAAGAGGCACAAAGTCGGATTTTTAATGCTTTCCTTCCTTATCCTTTTGATATAAGGATTGGTGTACACTTCTTTGTCAGAACCTAGAGAAGAAAAACCTTCCATCCGTCTGATTTGTAGAGATATTTTAAATTTGACTTCTAGATTGACTTTGGTAATTTAAACAAATTCTTACCTATTTCTAGTTTTTATATGACTTTGAAAACTTAAGCAGTAGCACGTAGTCTGATTTGTTCTTGAAGGTTCTTAATTTGTAAATCTGCAGATTTGATAAGCAATCGAAAAGAATGTCTTATTTTGACTTCTATTGTTAGCTTTCTCTTTTGACTTAATTGCTTTAATTCAATAATGGCTTCAAGGATTGCTATGGAGCAATGAAAAAGTCCATCAGCCTAAAAGCAGCAGAATTGATAGGTCCGCTCTGAATCCTAAATGCAATATAATTGCCACATATTATCAAGTTGAGCTTCTGACTATATAAAGATTTCATTTTTTGTGTCTTTATTTCTTTGGAAAAAAAAAAAAAAATTCAAATATCCTCTTAAACAATATAGTTCAGACAGCCTTCAGTGCCTGTCAGGGGATTATTGTATCTGGAACAGTTACATCATTTTCAGCTCACACTTCTGCCTTTTGATAACAAAAAAGAATTAGGTGGTTGTTTAGGGGGGCATCGCAGGGTGAGTGACTCTTTCCTTTCACTGTGAGTTTGTTTGTTTGTTTGTTTGTTTCCACTTTGTTCCCAGGATCCTCCCACCTTTCACACAAACAGAGATGTATAATAGTAGTGTAAAGTAGCATTCTCTACTTAAAACCTACATAATTTTGTGTTGGCAAGAAATAGAGGAAGTTGGGTCTTGTGTGCCTCTTTGGAAAGGGAGAAAGTAGAGGTTTCAAAGTAGAAGGTACAAGTTAACAAGACTCAGATTGTGTCCGGACAGGGTGAGAAAAAACTGTGGAAAATATATCTCAAATAATAGAGTAACTGTTGTCTCAGCCGATTTGTTAACTGCTGCCTTCGTTTATGAAGCCTTTTCTCTCTTCAAGGGAGAGAGGGAAGAGGTGTTGCAGATCCTTTTTATGGAAGTCAGGAAGAAAGCACTAATTATATACCATTAAGAGCAGATGTAAGAGGTGATTACTGCCTACCTGCAACAATTTAGGAGTGCTGTGGTGCATAACTGGGATTTTCTGCAAGAATAAGTTTTACAAGGATAGCATAAGAATGAATGTATCTGTAACCCTTTTCCAGCTCTTTGTGATACTAACTACTTGTTTTTCCCTTTTCAAAGACAATTTAAAAGCACAGATAATTTTGATAGCAAATAATTTTTCGGTGGGGTTATGACAGTGACAATTTAACCTAACTTCAAAAATGGTCCTGCTTTGGGCAGGAGAGTTAGACTGGATTCCAGCCTAAATTGTTCCATGATTCTGTTTGCTGCCTTTTGTTCTTAGAATGGTTTGCATTTTAAAATGTCTTTACTAGTAACGCATCCCCTCTGTTAGTAACACGAAGAGATGGAGACAGGTTACAGAGATGTTAATTTTCAAGGTAGACCTGAAAAAACATGCCAGAATGTCAGAATCAGATGCCTACTTTGGCATCTGATTTTTTCACTCTCTTGCATGAAATATGTTATGAATTTTGGGCCATTTCTTAAGCAGCAGAGATCCACATCACAAAATTGGTGCAATCTGTGGCACCTAGACTGACATTAATCAGGGACATCAAAGATTTTAAATCCATAGAAAATGAACAACGTGCTTGTTCATGGAAGGTATCCTGGATTATATCGTTATGCAGATTAGTATGTCTTTATGCTGAACTGCCCCATGCAGTATTTATATTACATTTACAGTAAACACAGGATTTAAACATGGTGGAAGACCACCCTGACATCATTAATGAACAAATACAGTATTTCAGGTGTTGAAGGGAACTATTTCAGTCAAGGTATTTTGGTGAAGCATGATAATTAGTCTTAAACTGAGACTCACATTTCTAGAAATGTTTGAAAAAAATGATGCAAATTATAATTGCAATACAAAAAAAGAGTTATTCCAGAGATTCACTTACACTAAGCAGATGAACACTGTTGATTAGAATGAATCAGTTAGCTTCTCATGGTTGCTTTTTACTGCTGGCTTCTATAACATGGAAAATATGATCTGTTTTTAAACGTATGCCGAATATCACTGTGTATGATTTTGATCACTCTGACCACATGGCACTAACAATCTAGTGATAAAGTAGCACATTTGGTTTGAACATATATCCCATTTCCTTCAAAATGTCAGTATCCAGCAGATGGCACCATAGTTAAACTTTTGCTACAGGATAAATTGTTCTTTGTACTTAATTTTCTGTGCTCCAGATGATCAGTGCTATTCCAAGATACGGAGAAAGATTTGACATCAGGAAATTAAGCAAATTAGATTGGTTCCCTTAATTTACATTCTTCGTATAATTTAGTGCACTCCACAATGGATGAGGATGTAAAATGTGTGCACTGAAACTTAAACTATGGCTTTTTATAGAATGGAGTGAGAGTAGTTGCTCTCATTAAAGTGATTGCTCTTATTCAGACAAATCAGCCCTTGAGTCCTTTAACAGAGATTTCCCAGATGTTGAAACCAACATTGTCTCAAACTATGCAAGCTTGTAATTTCTTTCCTCTTAAGTGAAATATTAGAAGAGCTTTATATTTGTAAATATATTTTTCTTCAACAACAAATTGTTAAGGAATAAAAACAGGCATAGGATGTCTTTAGATAAAAATAAAGTTTAGCGTTTTCAGCTGCTTCACTTTCAAGTATGTATCTGCAACAATAGCTCTCATGATAGTTGTTTAGATATTGCTTAATGCAACTATGATTATAGAAGTTTTAGTGTCTGTATTCTGATATCTTTCAGTGGATTACCTGGCTCAGGCGTTTGATTCCCTTCGCGTAGACTTGAAGACAGATGAAGGGAAGGCCTTATTTTTGGAATACCAGTGTGTGCCTGTCATATTAAGTCACTTGAAAGTGTCCAGTAGAGGTCTGCTTTCCAGTGCTCTTGATGGATTACTTCAGATGACCATGGAATCTGGTAAATTTGGGTAATTAAAAAAAAATAAATAATGATGAAAACGGGTGAGGTAAGCATAAATACAACATTAGAATAGCATGATTCTTCTGTATAAATAATTTAATCTAGTATTAGCATTAATTTGTATCATGTAAATTCATTAGAGGCATAAAATGTATTTCTAAATTGTCTGTCTCTTTCTGAATTGTCTTGTCTTTCCTTCTCCTCTCAGCACCTATGCTTTATAATTTGTTCTGATTACTTTCTTATTTATTGGTGTGAAATCTTTTATTGCTATTTTTGGTTTGGCTTTTCAGTTTATTCCACTGTTTTACTTTGCTGATGCTTTTCTTTGAAGTCAGGATATGCCACAGAAGCCTTATCATGAAAACCTGCCAGCAGGTGGAGATGAAAAATAGGCTTTATTTCTTTTTCTAGTTTGAATGAACCACTCATCCTCAGTCACTTTTCACTTTCTAAAAACTGGAAATGGCATTCCTACAAGAGATGGTTATGTTTTGCTGAATTTTACTGTGCTGTGGCCCTATAAAAGGTTTGATTGTCTTATTTGTTTCAGCACTTTTACAAGTGACACAGGCTAAGAATCAGTTGATAACCAACTGGATGAACCTGAAGGTAGTGAGGCATTCCAGTGCCACGTTCAATAAACCCTGTGACTGTTTTTTTTTAAAGATGAAAATCACTCACTGCCTTTTAGAACAGAAAAGGGGAGTTGCTGCTATTTTTGAAATGTATATGGTTATTTCAAAAGTATTTTGTTACCACATATTGTTGTGGTAAAAATAGAAAGCATGTTTGACTTGGGATGGAACAGCATTGAGTTAAAAGCCATTTTGTAGCAAGATAAGTGGCAGAAATATTTAACTAAAGTTTTACTCTTTCTTGCAGACTCTTTCTTCTGACCTTGCAGTTATTGTAGTCTTGCCACCACAGTATTCTTTTTAGCAGTCATAACTATGATTGGGAAAGTGATTGGGAAAGAGATAGTTGTATATGCAAAAGTAACCTAAGAAAGTTGGATGGTGTCTGGTATTAATTTGAGAAATTCTAGTAACAGTACATCTTCTGTTACCTGGCAGTACTCATTCTGATATGCTAGATGCCTGCAGTTTGAAGAATAATGGAGATATATAGTGAGATACTCAGATTTTGCCTTGTTGCTTCTCAGAGAAGATGTATATATATGAAATAAGGGAAGGAGGAGTAATGTTTAATTGAATTGAAATTGATTGAAAATTTATTTCTTGTCAACTGGGTATGGCCTTATGCAGAGCCTTTCTCTTTGAGAGAATAAATTGCCAATACTCAAGTTATAGGCATGTTCTGCTCTTTTCCAATACATAGTTAATGTTTTGCAAGAAATTGTTAACAATGAGAAGTAGCATTGTTGATGGGAAATCGTATTTTCATTCCTTTGTAAGTTTTCTATTAAAAAATCTTTAAAAAGCAAACTAGAAGAAGGCTGTGAATATTCAGAGGGCTCTCTCTAAGAGTAAAACAGGAATTTATGCTCAACTTTAAAGCCATATTGTTATGCAGCCTTAAATATGAAGTCAGAGGTAGCTGACCATATACTAAAATACAGAACCACATTATCTGAAAAGACAGCATCTGACCAACAGGAGGCAGAGTCTAGACTTCTATTTTTCCCTGTAAGATATGGAATCCTAGACATTCTTTTAACTTCTGCAATAATTTTCTGGCTCTATAAGAGTATTCCAATATTTTTGTTCAAAAATATTTATTACCTTTATAGCTGAAGTGATTAGAAATTAAGTTGGAAAAAAAGTCAGTGCATTTTTTTCCAGGATATTCTTTTCTATAACTTAAATTTCTGAGTTTTAATCTTTTGTGAAGTATTTTTACAGATTCGAATTTTAGTTGTGCAGGCTGAAAGATGTGAATCAGATGTGAAATAATTACTATGTTGTACCTTCTGCTTCCTGTAACTGCATGTACTTTTTGTTATAGCAGTATCAGCAATGAATGATAATGGTTCCGTATAGTCCAGGCCTGCCTGAGGTCCTCATGTAGGTTCTCTTTGCTGTAAGAAATTCTCTTCCTGATGTTCCAGAAATTAAATATAGATTTTCCTCAGATATATTAAGGAAAATTACTTAAGCTGCATAAGAAAAAAGTACCGACTGGTCTAAGATGGATATTTCTGTGCTAGAAATTATAACAAGACAGTCTGCAGTACTGCTTAAGCCGGTTAACTGATTTGATTTTGGTATGCACGTTTTCATATTTTAGATCATTATCGTTCCTTTTGGCTTCATAGTATATCTGGTACAATGGGTCCGGGATCCAAGTTTCCTTTGCAAGTTCATACAACAATGACCATCCTGATAAGGCATTCAGTTACTGAAAACATGATGTCAAATGCAAGAGTTGAGGCATTGGTATAATCTGTTTTCTATCTATATGGAAGACCTTAATGGGAAATTAAAATTAATAGTCTTACTGTTGTGCATACTGGCACACAGCCTTTCATGCGCCCCATCTCCATTTCTGTTCAGGAATTTCACATCAAGAATCTGGGAGAGTCCTGACACCACCGTTTCAGTGGGAAATGGTGGAGGACTGAAAGGTAACATTCCTCAGTACTTTTTTTCTCTATCTACCTATGACTTCATTGTATGCTTGTCAGTCCAGGCCAGCTCAGGATCTGCATTCATATGTGATATCTTCTGCAGTTCTGATTGTTGTCTTCTTCTGTTAGATCTTTTTTCACAAGGAAGAGAAGGATCAGCAGGCAGAGATGGAGGAATAATTAATAATCTAGAGTGATTTAGTTGTCTGAGAAAGCTTGCCAGATCATAAGATGGTCCAGAGGATGACTTCAGGGCATTTCAAAACCTGAAAAAAATATATGAAGTTGAGATACTTCAGTTCCTCCTGGAAACTGTGGCCAGAAAGCCAAATAGTGAGTTAAATGTTCTGTATGCTTTTTTTGCCTGATAGGCTGGGAATGACATTTAACAAATAACTTTTTAGTAATAGAACTGTAGCATTGTTTTTTTGGCACTTTAGAGATGCCATGATTCTTTCTAGGGCTTTCTTTGCACTAGGTCAGCATCTCATGGCTACTATTTGGGAAAGACTAAAACAGCAAGGATCACTTAAAAAAAAAAAAAAGTCCGTAAACCAGGCTCTTTGGCAAGATCTACTTCTCTGTCATTCTCTAAATGTGTATGGACACTCACAATATGCTTCTGTCAAGGTAAGACTAACTTTAATAAAACAGGTTGTCTATTTCTAAAAAGACTCCCACAGAGTGGTGGGAAGAAGTAAAATCTGTGTGGTGAGAGGCAGCAGATAGCCAAAATCTCTGTGTATTATGCCACCTTGCATGCAATATGCCCACACATGCTTTTGGATGTTTGGGCGCATCCATGCCCTTAAGACTGTGGCTGATGAAGATAACCATCAGGGCTGGAGTTCAAACCATAAAAGATGCTTCATTTAAAGATCAGTACCCCTTCAGTTCAATGACGAATTAAACTCTGCTCGTGAAGAATTTGGAGCTCATCTGTGTTTTCAGTGAGCTTATTAATTCTAGTCTGAAGGAAGACACATATGATGGTTTTTTGCACTGCACAATTCAGTTCTCTGAAGTACAAAGAACTGTAGCTTGCAGTTCTACTACTACATGTGACTTCTAGTGGCAGACTTTACTTCAGGAAACCTGACTTGGAATCCCAAGGTCTAATGAGAGCAAGAAAGTGTGAGCTGTGAAGATTACAGATAGTTTCAGTGCATTTGTACTCTTGAGTTACCTTTCCCATCCATGCCTTCATGACAAGGTACTGTTGAAGCAACATCTGAATGTTCGCTTAGATAACAGAAGAGCAGAAAATGTAACCTTAGTAATCAGAGATTAGGCATTTCATTCCCATGCTGAAGATGAAAGGGGAGTATCAGCTTATTTTGACCCTCTTTGTGTCAAGAAGTCAATCCAGTTGTATTCTTAGTGGTAAAACCATTTGTCATAATTTCCTCATTAGAGCCACAACATAGGCTATCAGCCTTCAAGGTGCTCTTTTTGCTTCATCTCTTAGTATTACTTCAGATTCCAGGTTGGAACATTTTTGGCCACTAATAGGATCAGGGTTTACTGCTTAATGTTTTGATTCCAGGTTAGTGAAAGCTTACCATATTCCAAAGGAATCATGCCAGTCAAGTAGATCTCATAAACCAGCTGCAAGTTCCTTTAAAACTATAAATAAAAATATGCCTGAGGTCTGCAGCTTCATGAAGAGTTTGTGTGGGTTGACATGTATTCTGTACAAGAGTGGATAACACCAGTGTACCTATCCAGCTAGGCCACAGAAACACGGTGGTCTTGACACCGCAGAAATTCTGTGAAGAAATTAAGACTTCTGGTACCCTTTGGAAGTTTATTTGTGCATGTTTCTTGAAACTTAGATGCATCATCATAGCATACAAAGCTCCAGAGCCCACATTGTAGTATACAATACAGTCATATTATTTCTTGGAAGGATTCAAGTTATGTGTATTTATCAAATTGGGATCTCAGATCACATACATGTCACCAGACTACGTTATGGTTTAGGTATTAGAACTTGGATAGTATTATAGATGCGCATACATTTCCCAGACATCAGTGAGTTTTCATGCCATTATATGATTCTGAAGTATGGCACCAGCCAAAAATAATCTCACCATTTTGTCTCAATCATTAATGTTTTTGGAACTGTAATAGTATGTCATGGATACAGGGAAAAAAAATATGTATGTATGCATGCTAATTGTGTTTGCCTCACCTCTTTTACACAAATCTTAAAGCCTAAGGAGGAGGATAAAATGCTATACTGATTACCATTCTTGTAATATCCAAAAACATTCATAATTGGAAAAAAAGCTGACTTTTAAATGTCAGTGAAAAAAGCTGAGGTGAGTTTCGACCAGCTACTTGGCAGCAGAGTGAGAGGAGCAGCTAGCGATGTAATGCAGTGATTTCAGAGAGTTTACTTTGT